CCCCAAAACCCCAAAACCCCATGCTGAAGAAATTAATGAAATTATGAATAATTTAATCACACTGATGAGATTTTCATTTTCAATTCCATTTTTTACTAATTATTATTCCTGTGTCATTTAACGGGTCAAACTACTCTTATTACTCGCTGTATTTCTGAGCATCCAATTAAATTCTCTAAAATACTACTTCCAATTCCTTATGACTTTAAATTTGCTCTCGAGTTAAATGGGGATCCTACTAAGAGATTTGATTTATTTCATCATTTCCTTAATTACTAATGTTTTCATTTTAATGAGTATGATTCAGTGACAGTGATTGTTTCGGCTACCAAGCTTAACTACCATGTTACTAATTAAAACAATGATATTCTCGTGCTTACCCTCTACCCCTTCTATAATAAGTAACATCTTTTTCATATCTATTATTGTGCTCACTCTCTCCCTATCTATATTAGTAACTATTATTAAATCCTCTTCCTCGACCTCTGCTATATGATTAGTGAAACATATCGTTTTCATTATTGAAACTTCTGCCTTAATGTCTGTATTCAAATATTTTACTTTAGTAATTTTGGTCTGGATTACTCTGAGTGTAGCCAAGAGTTAATCCTCTATCTTCAAATCTGCCACCTTCTCTGTTATTATTGTATTCCCTATTAGAATACTAATGCTTAAATGTATTTTATCTTTGCTTATAATTCTCATTATCAAATGTATTATTGCGGTTGTTTGACTAATCACATTAAAAGTCATCTCTATATCCGCTTCCTTGATTTCTGCCTGAATAAGATTTTTGATGTTATTGATTCTGATAGTTACTTGGCTCAAACTATCTTTAAATAAAATCTTAGTCATTTTAAATCACTGAATCTTCTTAGATATAAGGCTATGGTACATATATAACCTATCTATGCGAGCCTAAAGTTTACTATTGAATAAATTCTATTTTGTTTTATGCTTAGGAGTCTTCATTAGCTTAAACTAGGTTAGCCTGATTATCTAACTGTGTATTCACATTTGTATTTATTTGGATTGTAGATTCTTCTTTCTATTACTGATGCATTAAGATTATTCTTTATTACTCCTACTCTATGAAATCTTAGGATTCTTTAAGCAACCTCAGTCTCTCTTCTAGATCTTCTTTACTAAGTACATCGCACAATTTTATATCGCCAGAAGTAAGGTAAAACTTACTTTAATCTTTTAGTTACAATTTCGCATCAATAAAATCATCGCTTATCATGTCATCAATGCTGAACTGCATAGGGTTAAAATCTAATGATTATCTCTAACTCTACCTTCTAAAGTTATGGTATTAAAGATTCTAGCGACTTGGCCTTGATACAATTTGTTGCTTTTGTTTGAATGAAGCTAAATCACTTTAGACAGCGTTGATCTAGCGATGAGTATCTCGTACCTCAACCATTATAGCTCTGATCTATCTATTATTACTTTGCTACATGATTTCAGATTAATTCAATTTGTCTTATTAGAGAAAAGAGTGGTGCTCAGCTCTCTGGCAGAAGTCAACATGATGTTTAAATGTATAGGCTCCTTTGAAGTATTCGTCACAAGTTTCGCATTAAAAGCTTGAATCTCTAAGGAATGCATTATGTATTAGGGTGGGTCTATAGTAAAAGTGCAGTTATGACTTATCGGCGTCGCATTTATTGGGGCATTCGAAAATGTTAAATGGAATTGCAAGAAACCCATAAATGCATTTAAGGCAGAAAAGGCGCTTGCAAATGCTACTGATCCATGGGTTATCTGCTACTTGATAGCAAATCGCACACTCAATGTGATGCTTGATAGTAGAATGGTAAAGTGCCTTGCTTACTTTTATCTCTGGCATGTGCTCTAAGATGAAATTTGGGTCTTGATACTAGAGCATCAAGGAGCTACTCATTCCTACCCTCATTTAAATTAATAGTTTAAACCTAATTTAATATACAAATAATTTATATTTATTGGTTTAAAAATCACTTAAACTACATATCATCCTTCATTCACTGATTTCATCAAAAGGGGTTTTGGGGTTTTGGGGTTTTGGGG